TCTGCAGACCTACAAAACTTTGCACTAATTTGTACAATTTTGTTAGTTAACATTCTTTTACAGATATATTATGTTATGCACTTTATCAGCCCTTTCTTGGTGTTGCAGGGCACCTGAGCCATGAAGACAATAAAACAATAGCTGAGAACAATGAGTTTGGAGCTAAACAATACCCTTCAATACAATGGCCCCTAACCCAGAATACAATACATCTTGCAACACCAAGAAAGACCCACTTTGAATAACTGCCTATACAAAGGTAAACCTTTATATATGAGTAGACCTGTGATCAACGAAGGCAGCAGCATGCATTGAATAAGAAAGAGAACTACAATTTAGACAAGTCCTTCTGGTTCCCCTTTCTCTCCAGCAATTTTGATATCTTGTAATAATCTTTCTTTATTTGTAAGAAGAATATTGTTATATAGTATCCACCCCATGGCCAACATTTTATTCATCAGATCACTTTTCTTTCTTTCTTTGGTCTATTTATCATGCTAGTATAGCAAATTCCTTCAGGCTAAAAAATGCATGGGATGGAAAAAAAGAGGAAGGTTGAAAGTAAAAAGGGATAGATACTGGGAAGTTATTCCCATTCTTATCCACTTTTTATCTCTTCCCATTCATTCATTCTGTTAACCAGTCCATATTTTTTAATATCAAAAGATGCTGGATAGAATGGGAAGTGTTACCAAAACATGTTTGGGAAAAAACTATCGACCTTTATCTCGGCATCCTTTTTGTCCATAGAAATTCTAGCCACTCTTCACTGGTTGAAAGATCATAACAGCAATTATCATCTTTCAATATTTTATTCAAGGTGTTATCCTATAGTTTTGATGAAAGAAATGCTTTCAATATATCCATAGTTTGAAACCTTAGTCGAAACATTTTATAAAATGAAAAGCATGCCATATGTATTTGTTATATTTGAAACATTACAGTTTTAGTATATGTTGAATTATAAAAGAGGTCATCAGACATGATGTACCGTTTAGATGCATTCAATGAAGACTGTCATTGTTGTCATCCTTTCCTAGGCTGCAGAGAAAACTCTTATTACATTGTCGTAGAGTACAAACACTATAAGTGTGCAACATTAAATACCACTAAATACTGCTAAATTATGCTAATTCTATTGTTTTCTATTGTTTAATTAGCACTATTTACTACTAAATAGTGCAAAGCGTTGCTCACTTTTAGTGTTTGTACTTTACTTCTTTGTATTAATAATGTCAGATGTTACTTACTATCAGTGGGTATTTTCACAAAGGGTAATAAAGCTTTCCCTACCCTACCCACCCATGAAACACCTCCCCTAGCCACCAAGGCAATAGACCTCTTGCATGTTACGTCAAAGCAGTTCAATGTGGTGGACAAATCAAACGAATTTCAATTTCATGAGAATAGTCCTTTTCACAGTTCCCTGCACCATCATAAAAGTTAGCCCTGCCTTTGCATCAAAGAGGACGAATGGTGAGCTTTGGACAATAATGCATGTCTTTATCAAATCAAGCTTGCTGTTCTTCTCACTTCAATGCAAAGGCATGGCTACCTTTCAAGATGGTGCAGGGAACTGTGAAAGGGACTATTGGAAAACTATTTTTGTTTCCTCCAAATTGAGCTGCATTGCAAAACGGTAGTGACCTTGCCATGATAGAGAGCTTTTAACACCTTGGACAATTATTCACATCTCTATCATTGCAAGGTCACTGCTGTCTTGGCTTTGATCCACAGTCTTGATTACCTTTCAAGATGGTGCAGGGAACTGTGAAGGAGACTATTCATTTTTCTGTCAAATCAGATTGAGGCACAACAGTAGCAATCTTGAATTTATTTTAGGTCCACTTATAAAGTATTTAGTTGAGTTATGTAATGTATAAAAAAGATATAAAAATCTTGAATGCACGTATGCATCGCCTAAATTATACTATAGAAACTTAGAAAACTTTCTACATTGACTAAAATCTAAAGTTTTCCCAGAAAATAGCATTAAATGACTGAGCTACGAAACTTCAGGCGGAATTCGTAGTTTGTCATTACGGGCCAAAAGACACGTTAGCTCACGTTCGATATGTTAAAGTCTAGACTTGATTGCGAGGCTTTAGTCGAATGTTACTTCATGTATGTTACAAACACGTGTCACCAAATACATATGTTAGGATTAAAATGATTTATCATATCTGACGTGCCTACGTTTCGGCAATAATAAGGACATTTTGAAAGCAAAGCTATTCAATCCACTACTCGACGTTATAATCGATTCTACAGCACTATACTGATACTTTTGAGGTTTAATACGTAAAATATTTTATTCCAGAGAGCCTCGGTATCGTGCTAGAAGTCCATAACGACCCTGACACATTTTTTCGTTATACGAACCTGGCTGACAAGAGCACCCTTCATCGATCCTACAACCAAAAGTTGTCGTAAAAAAAAGGAACCTAAAAATACGTTGAATGAATTCTTATAGCTTTGTGCAATGGCGCACGGCATAGTTGACGTACAAACAAACTTCTAAGATGTCAACTGCATTATTCATCATTATTCAACTAATATTTCTTTGTAACTTTTGGTAAATTTTCTTTTCGAAGATCTGAATGCATACGAGCAGTCTCCTTTAACAATCTCGTACGACTCTCGTCGATCCAAGTGTATTCGCTACCAGCAGCTTTCGCTGCAGCTGCGTTTTGTTGTTCAGCTGGTATTGAAAAGGAGGGAGGTCCATATTGACCGCTGGGGCCATCCGTCCCTTCAACTTGAATATAGTTCAAATGATGACTATTCTGGTTTCTCTGAAACTTTCTTTTTGGTGCGTTCAAGTTTACATATGCTTGAGTTCCTGGCGGTCCAATGTTCTGGTACGCCTGGCCATCCACAGATTGACCAGGAAGATTGGTATACGAATGACCAGGAATATTGTCAAAACTATGACTACGGTTAGACTCGACCCGGAGATTCTGGTACGCCGGGTTACCGGGCATTAGTGATTCTACGCTATGGTAGATGGAGTCATCGTTGCCATCGTAGATATCATACATATTGAACTTCTTAGAGCCAGGTTTATTGTTGGCGGTTTTACTTCTCGATCTAATGGCGCTGTTCATCATACCTGTACCACGACGCCCAGGTACATTCACATAATCAGCTGTCTTGGGGGGAGAGTTGACATATGGTCTCTCGGGGGTCTCCTGAGGTAGGACCAGCTCTGGAGGCGGATTTCTGATTCCCCGTCGAGCTTTGTTAGGATTAACAATTAACTCTTGCTTTGATTCCAGGCTTTTAGGTCTGACAGGGGTCTTAGGTGGCTTTATTTCTTCTGTTTTAAAGACATCATCGCTTCCAGTTGTTTTGATGTCATTTTCGTTGGTCACAGCCACATCCACATTGTCGTATCCTTCGCTGTTACGGCCACTCTTAACGCTATCCTTCTTTTCAGTTTCTATTTTTGATTCATCTTTAACTGACTCTGTTGCCGTCGTAGGTTTTCCATTCTTGTCGTCAGGTTTTGGTACGTCGTTTAGTTTGAATTCCATCTTCTCATAACTTGGTTCCATAGTGTCTTCGTTCTCAGACGTCCTCTCGCTTTTCTTCACGGCAGTTTTCTGTTGTTCTTCCTCCATCTTCTTCTTTTCCTCTAATTTTTTTTCTGTTTCTTTTATTATTTTTTCGACATCTACGCCATCTACGATAACGTAGCCGTCATGCTCATTCTCCTCTCCAGTGCTTGATTTCTCTTCTCTACTCGCTTTACTCCTAGGATTTTCCTCTTCTGTTGTTTCAGATTTCTTCCTCTCTTTTCTTTTCCTTTCCTCTGCGGCATCCACAACATCGTCTTCTTCCCCGCCTGTCATTATTTCATATCCATCAGGAGTGACCAAATGCGTAGATCCTGCACTTCCATGCTGGTTATTTACTTCCGGTACGGTACTCCCGGCACGATTATTAGCACTTCCGGGTACATTAGGAAGTCGTCTATTTGTAAGTTTTCGTAGTCGTCGATTTTCTCCTGGCTCGCTTTGACTTCGCGGACGCTGTTTAGTTCTTCTACGTTGACTGATACGTTGCCAAGTACGCTTGAAGAAGTTAGGTTGACTGACAGATGCATCTTGTTGACTGACAGATCTCTGTGGTGAGGAGCGATCTTTAACGAAACATTTATGACATTAAATTTCGCAAATAAAAGACTAATAGCCACCGAAAAATATTGATAATGGGTAGCATAGCTCTTAAAACCCTTTATAAAAGGTTCGTGATTTTCCTATTTGCTTGAGAGAAAATTCAAAACTTTTATGAGCGAACTATGTTTGGGTTTCCTGTGTGGAAAGCACCACAGGTGCGAAAGTCCACACGAAAGCGAAAATACGGCCATGATATTTTCACTTACCTAATGCAGGCGGTTCCACATAATTATTTTCAGTGCCTACTTGGCCTCCTCGACAAACGTTGTCAAACAGTTGATGGAGCTCTCTTCCGTACTTGGTAGCGAAGTAATAAATACATGTTCCTCCGCCTTCCTTCACTTCGAAAGCAAACGCCCCGTAGACGGCGCCGTAGTGAGGTAAATCAACGAGCTTCCATTTTCCAATCAATCGGTAGTTGTCCTTCCGCGTTAGACTAAAGAAATCTTTGTAGAATCGAAGAGTAGCTTCGCCTGATTTGATCTTCTGTTTGTTGGGAATGATTCCATCAAACGATTGTTCTAGATAAGATAGATACAGATGGTTAATCTATGAGTCTATCTTGATGTACATGTGTTCTGATTTGTTGGAAGATGTAATAACGTTACCACTGTTTTCATTGCTATGACAGTCGCGACAGGGCAATACACTGCGCTTAATCAGAGTATCTAAAGGTACCAAACAAATTATTTGATTTAAACAAATGAAATCAGTGGTATATGAATAAATAGTCGATTCATTACAGATTTTGCTCTTTATCCATTTTTTACCGTCTCTAAGAATTTTAAAATTCAGCTTACGATTGAAAGATATATTTAAATAACTCTTATCTATAAAAAATATTTCTTCATATAATTGTAACTTAGCTAAAAGGAACTCGAAAAAAAATCAGAGTCTCTGATTTTTCTAAACTAGCTCCTTTCAGCTAGTGACAAAAGGATAAGTTATTCCTATACTCAACTTCATTTCCAAGCTAATCGATAAATTTCATCGACTCTTATCTATTTCCAATGAAATTAATATATATCAGTAATAGTTACCTTGTCCAAAGTGTCTTTGAATACAATTCACCCACTCAGATCTTTCATCAATTGTCTCAAAGCTCAATCGTACAACTTCATTAGCAGTGATAGCAATGATTACATTATAGTGCTTGTCAAGCTTGTTCAGTAGTTGTAGGCCTGAAAATGACTCTAGGGAGATGAAGGCTTTTTCTTTCTGCCGTGATCTAGCACCGACTTGGTCTTGATATAACACTAGGTTAATTACATCTGGAAATATAATCATAAGAGAGAATAATAAGCAAGAATAATAAGCAAGAATGATTGTACGGATATCTAGAAAAGTAACATCCTCAACATCCTGTCGAGAAATAAATGAATGAATGGATGAATGAATAAAAGAATGAATGAATAAATGTAGGAATGAAGCAAGAAAGAAATGAGTAAATGAATGGATACATGAATGAAAGATAAATGAATCAAGAAATGAAAGAATGAATGTATGGATGAATAGATGGCTCCATTAAATTATAGCCAAAATCCATATAATTTCAAAATGAAAGTGCAGCTTTTCAACTCTATTTCATTTTTGTTTTCAAACATATTTCTATTCTCCAATTTATCTTTCATTTCTTAGTTATTCATAATCAAATGTCCTTTTCAATCATAATATGGCTATTTTAACAAATTAACTTCTTCTGTGAGACCTCGCTTATAATAACTACTTTTCACCTACAAATTTGTTTTATTTTTGTAGAATGAAATTTTACTTTTATTTTTCTAAGTATGTTGGTTATATTTGAAAATGGTGCAGACTGAGAGTCAAACATGTCAATCTTTTCCTAGTTTCCTGCATTACATTTCTGATATTACATTTTTGTAGCCAAAATGGACCCAAACAAACCATAATATATGCCACATTATAAAAATGCATGTTATTAATAGGCCATTTTGGATATCTTAAAATTCAGAAATTCAGAATTTATTGCACTTCAACCAAAAGGTACTTCATGTGTGGTACAAACATGTGGATCCTCAAATATATGATTGGCAGGGATAAAATAATGTACGATATTTATGATGTTCCAGCAATGATAAAAGGAATTGGTAGAAAATTGGTCAGTTCACTACTCAACAACGTTATAATTGAATCTACAGTACTATATTTACTGATACTTTTGAGGTTTAATGTAATTTCAAACATTTTATTCCAGAGAGCCTGGGTATCGTGCTCGAATTTTAATATCTTGAATGTCGCCTATTAAATTAATGATCGTAGTATCACAATAGCAGCAGCCCACACATTGAAGTATACATTGTGTTTGTTATCAGCTGAGATCAACTAAAATCTAAAATACAGATATTTGATTCCTAATTCCTGTGTTGTTGCCTTTTAGAAAGCAAATATATTTTTTGTTAGGATATTATAATTATGAAGCTATATATATCTATATTTTCTTAGATATTTAAGTCTGATATTGGCATATATAGTTATGTAATGATTGATAGCTGTAAAAAGACCTCCATAAGGTCTTAAACGATTAAGCCTACATTACGTACATTACCCCTTGGCGACATGATATAACATAATAAAAAGCTCCTATTTGGGCCTCATTATAACTCTTTTTTTTGTAAAATACTAAGATAATATACAGTTCGTTGGCTGAGGCCAGAGACATTCTCATGTAAAGGCATCAAAAGCTGTTTTCTAAAACTAAATTTTCCTCTCAGGGTCTATATTTTCCAGCTTTTATACTACTATTTTAAAAAAAGAATTGTTGGTCTGAGATCTGGAATCTGAGACCGAGTAGTATGCTGCAAAATGTAATAAATTCACAATCAAAACAACGTAGTTTCCATTTAGATTGGAATATGAAGCATGGCCTTTCAGTGAGGATATGTGATTTTTCGTATTTTAGTCAGAAAACATAAAATCACAAAAACTATATTTGGTCTCAGATCACTCATCTCAGATTTCTGACCGACAACGTTTTTTGAAATAGGTGTTTATTATGTATATATCACAGTACAAAGATGCAAGTGTATGTTTAAATAAATAAAATTCCTCTTTGTCGAGATTATAGAAACCATGATTGATCATGTATAGCTAGATTATAAATACATATAGAAAAATTATTATTCATCATTACTAAAATCAACTGTCTTTGAAAGCCTGATTCATTAAATAGGATGTTTACTAATATAAGGAAAGAGTCTTGTTATGGAAGATAAACAAGCTCCCTAATGAAAAAGTCCCCTGATGATAATTGTGTTGGTGTATATTTTCATAACAGGATGAATGTAGTTTAGAGGAGATTATTCAGAATGATTTACGAGAGTATACGAGTATAATATGATATCATTGCTTTTTTCATTATGCCACAATTCGAAGCTATGATAATACTTGATAATTAAAAATATGTGATGGTTTAATAATAATAATGATAGTACATGTACTGTGACAGCTGTCCAAAAAAATAAATTTACTATTTGTCAAGCTGTTTCAGAATATATAGAACCAAGTTTTAATAATTTTTTTTTTAAATATGCAAATATAAAAGCTATAATATTGTTTGTGGAAGTTAACAGCTTTCATCACTTGTACCAATGATATACAACATGTACGAAAACAAGACCAAGGATTTGTTTTAAGAGGTCTCTCTCATATTGAAACAATAAATATTTCATCATCTCTTTAAGAATACAGTTGAGAGGACAGCTTGATATTACTAAACAAAGTAATATTTATTCATATACAGTACTTATATGACTGTGTTTATAATTTTCTTAACATTTTACCCCACAAGTCTAAATTACAGATTCCAAGAAGACAAGAAGTATATTCAATACAGATAAAAAAAAGAGGTTTAAAGATTGTCACGAAATAATTACTAGAAATATTTCCCCATTTTTACTCAAGATTTCTATTTATATTGAGAAAGGAAAAATTCCAATGAAGGTCTAAACATATTCTTGTTAGCAAGTTGAAATGTTGAGAAAGTAGTGGTCAATTTAGGAAGATATAGTAAGCGCGATCCGAACACTATGAAGACCTAGAATATCTTGGAACACTAGGTTCTATAATTCATTTGTTAAAGCTTTTTGGTGTATATAAAGAATTCGAGATGGTGGTCCCCCAAAAAAGGCAATTCTACAAATGGCTTAACTGTTCTTAATAATTTATCATATTAAGATTGCAGGAAAAACTATGATTTAGGCTTCAGCTGATTTATAAATGATCTCCCACGAAGCCAAGAGATTTATATTAAATCGTCTGGGAAGGAAAAATTGTCTTCGAATTCTTCGTTTCATTTATAACAGTTTATTACCTTACTTTTAAACCCCTCTGGAAATTGCATAAGACGGGAATATTTTAAAACAAACGTAAGAGGCTTGCAGAAGTGTAAAATTACAGTGTAATAAAGAAACTAGTGCTTGACTGTCCGCGAGGAAAGCCAATGATGTGCAATCACACACAACGCCTCCACCAGAAATTATAGGATGATCACTCTCAATTTTACTTTTCCATCTGCATACGAGTAATTTAATAATAGCTTACAAATAGTACGACTTTTATATTTATTAGGTGTTGAATATCTCGGTAATCGAGCACAGTTATTCTCGTAAAGGGGAGTTTTTGGTTGCGTTAGGGATTAATGAGCAGTACACGACTCGAAATTTCGAAGCACAACTTTTAGAAAAGAGTACTAAGAATGCGTTAAAGTTGGCAACGTAAGACAAATTAAATAGAAGAATCTATCAATAATGATTTGCTTTCTCTAAAGACTTCATATTATAAAGACAAAGGTACCGTAGCCCGAATGAATATTGTCAAAATTTCAGTTTGTTTGGGTAATAATTTGTTCAACATCAGCGGGACAAGCGAACCAAGTAGCAAAACAAACTTTTCCTATGAATGTTTTCTATCTAAACCACCTAAGGTCGTGAAGAATAGAAACTTATTTCGTATGAAAATGCGATAAAACTATAAAACTAAGAGCCGAAATCACGTAAATTCATATTAGGACGCATCAAGACACGAGAAAAGATAAACATTTCAGCGTCAGCGCTGAATGAAATAAGACCGATAAGTATCATTAATTAGAAACTGTTCTCTGGTCCTAAAGTACTGAGAATCTAACCCTTGAATGCAATATTGCTTTGAAAAGACTGAAAAGTAGTGTATTGTCTACGTTTCAAACTCACCAGCAGCGGGATTGACTCTTCGAAGCACAGCCCATCTGGACTTCCACTGTAGACACGAGAACAAGTTTTTAAACCAAACAAATCAATAAAACTATCATTTAAAATACTTGATGTACCTTCTTTTTCCTTCTGTAGCGTACTGGACCCTCGATTATATCCATAGTGGCTGGCGCATCCTCAATACATTCAGCTGGCAAAGTAGGAAACCATCGAGCTACTTGGAAGCCACTGTTCTTCGATTTGGAGCTTGTGAACATGCGCGCGCACACTTCTTCTAACATTCCTTGAGTGGAGGATTTATTAGGGTTTTATGACCTACCCAAGGATCATAAACCATAAAACAACGAATATACTAAAAGCTTTAGAAGTTTAAAATTATCTCTCTCGATACGAATCGTGCGCAAAGACCCAACTTTGAGGTAATGTCAGTCGGTAAGCATATTTGTTTGATTGTAACAGCAGTTATAGGAAGTGATGGAATCCTGTAGCTCTGCAAACAATTTGAGTCCCGCCAACTTCCTTTGCCTTAGAAGTGACGTTCGGTAATTGATACTTTACTAGAGCTTAGCTTACTTCCGGTCTGTAAGAGTCCGTCGAAATTTAACGACTGTATTTGATTGATATTTAGCTACAATATGACACTGTGGTATGTCGAATAATATCAACCGAACCAAGTTAAATAATATGGAAAAAAGTGATGCTTAGTTCTTTCCTTTTTAAATAGCCCACGACTGAATGACAGCTAGAGGTGATATATAGTCTGCAACCCACAAACCAGCGAGCGATACAGTACTCGAACTACGTACTTTTGTTATGACGTATCGGTGAAGGTTGTTCAAGGAGGGGGCCACAAAATTATCTTATGGATGATGTGTAGGAGAGCCCCGTCATCAGAGTCAGTTCCACAGCCAATCACATTGGTCTCATTTTTAAGATAAAAATATTAAAGATCAGAGTATGCTGTGAACCCGATGAATTTGTTAGTTCCTATTGAGCATGTGATTTTTATCTCTGGGACCTTAAATGGGTCTTAATGACGTTGAGACAAAACAAGGTCCTATTTCCCACTGTGAACTCGCCGGGGAAGAAAGTATAAATAGATCCCCTTGCATATTCAAGTTGATACAAGCATCAAGACAGACCCTCTATCACTCCAGCCCTTGTCAAATCATTTTATTATTGAGTGGCCTTTATACAGTATATTTATAGTCTTTATAACAGAGTTATTGGAACATTGAAAGATTGTTCGCGCATTGACTGTCAAGTAAAACCCCTCGAAATTTCAGCACGATAGTATAACTCAAAGTGAACTAAGAAAAAAGATTTCTTTAGATTGGGCGTGATGATGTTCAGTCCCTTTTTCAGAACTCGTGCATGTCGTATTCTCTCGAGAATAAGAAGATTCTTTGTTTGAGCCGCATACATGCATATTCATGTATCTTCCTATGCGGCAACTGCTGTTAAACAAAGAAATACTACTCTAGGGGCACGTTGTCTGAAATGGGAAAACAATACGCTAGAGAGATCTACTGCTTCGTCCTTCATCAAATTTATTTTTAGTTCCATGATAATGGGATTAATTATAGATGCATTGTTAAAAATTGCCCTGTTGATCAATCTATTTGCAAATTAGGTTACATGTACATGTTTACGGATGTGTTTACGGATGTGTTCAGTGATACAGAATCGTGTTTGACGTCATCTATCACGCATTTTCAGTCTGAGGGGAAAATCTGCGGATAATTTGGTAAGTGCGTGGGAGGTCTGTTGTGGATCAATAATGGATCAGTAGCCGGTGTTTGTCGATTCCCAAGAATTAATCTAGATATTTGTACTTGCTCTTTTTGATTTTCTTTTCTTCTATTAGATTTTTTTTCAGAAAGCGTTTTGGGTAGTGAGCACAACGATTTTCAAGTTTTTTAAACGGTAAATGTACCCATACCTTGTGCATTTATTAAAAAAAGAAAGAAAAAAGAAGACTGGAGAAAAACAAAAGAATTTAAACGGATGACCAAGTTTAAATCTCCTATTTTGGCAAAAGACTGAACCTGCTTAATGTAAATAGCGTGGTTTGTTCAGGCTGCTGACGTTTTGGCATCACTGTCACTCTTTTCTAAAACGAGTGGTCTAGTCGTTCTTCAGTTTTACCGATTTTATCTTTTCTTGTCTCTGCAGGTTTTGGATCGTCCCACGGACCATCCAGCCTTCCAGTTGCAGACGTTATTTGTGTCGGTCCGATCGACACAAACAACGTCTGAAAAGGAGGCTACAGACCATCTTGATGCTCTTAGGATGTTCATGTGACTAAGCAGAGACTTCGAGAAGAATTCTGAAACCAGTGGAAACATGACAATACCAACACGACGGTCTGTTTCTTGCCGGCCATAATGATGCATTGAAGTTTGTCTCCATGCCAAAAAGACGCCAAGTCTGACATAAGTTACTAGATAGCATGCAATACTATTACGATTTTTTGACTGCCCTACGTCCCCTCCCCTCATCCCCAAGGGGAAAAAATGAAAATAAACTTAAAGATATTGAGGCAAGATTAATTAGTGACTAGTCTAATTACCGGCGAACACACGCAAACGTGTTGAAAATATGACAGCAATATTGCACTGATATAAGGATGATTGTACTGACTTTCATAATATTCACTTAAAAAGTGCTATTTTCAGACGACCAGGCTAGCTATGACGGAACTCATTTTAAATGACCACATAATAGCTTTAAAACAATAAACATCCCGTTTTTCTTCAAATTTTCTTTTCCATTACCAGTAAGTCTTCTTTTTAAAGACTTCGTGTTCCGGTATATTTATTTTATTTTTTCTTCCTTTTTGCTATCGTCGATTTTTGAGCTGGACTGAGCATATGTGTACACCGATGTCTGTTACACATTTTTACATCGTAGTAGAATAAAATCCTGTATGAAATAATGTATATAATATGAAGTAATGTCTATTTGCCATTAGCCGAGTCAAGCCAGAGTCGTTATACAGAGGTGTATCAGAAATGGCAGTGCAATGGCCAAGGAGGTAGAATCCAGCAGCATAAACACGACGCACACAAAGCAGCCAACAAACCTTTGTCCATTACCTCATTTCGCTCACGTCTCGCCACATCATCGTAAATGAAAACAGTATTCTGAGGGGCTGCCATGGGATATGTTTCATATGGTTGGTACATCAAAGGTTGTTGTTGATAGTACACGCCTGATGGAGCTTGGTTGCTGCTGTTTTGATAATAAAAACTGCCTTGCGGCGGTGAAGTGTAATATGGTTGCTGGTTAGAAACCATGTCTTGGCTTTTCTCGTGTGAACGTTTCTTCGGGTTTTCTTTCGTTGAAAAGTAGGAATATATTCCTAGACCTGAACGAATTAGAAATCTTGAAGTCGAATGTCTCCAACTCTGTGTACAGTATTTTGTTGATGTTTCGAGTTGCTTTTATGTATTTTCAAAGAAATTGCGCAGTTGTACAGCTGACAAGAGCACTATAGCCCACAATCTCAGAAAACCAGTTGTTTTTGAGAAAAACTAAATAGTTTGAAAATATTTCAAGATCTTTCCAATTAAATCCGACCTGAAATGGTTGAACTTTTTCGATGACTTGTATTGAAGCCAAAGATAATAAGTTCTTCGTTCTATACTTAAATACTATTCTGAATGACGATAAACATACTTTAAAAAACCGCCACGGGAATTAGCTAGAGCAGGTGGAAATATGCAAATGAACTGAAGCTGTTTACCAGTACATTTATGTATATATATAGATATAGATATACATACTGATATGTCATTATATTTCAACTCAATTTTTTTAGCACTGTGTCATCTGGCTAAGGACGAAAAAATCAGCTGTCTGTCCGACAATTACTTTATAATTTTAAAGACGAGCAAGGAATTCATTATCTACAGTATTTCCAAATGAACATTTAAAATATGATTGACTTTTGTTTTTAGCCAATAACTTCGTTTGCTAAAAAAAGATAAACAATTTATCGCCCACTATCCGGCTACCGCAAAACGTGCTGAGTTTCGCTGGGTTGTCTTTTACTTTTTCATTTGTCCAAAATTATTTTCTGACACAGGAAGCCCAAAGAAAGATAGTGATTAACACAGGAAACCCACTTTTAAAACTGGTTGGAATAAAAGCCATTGCGATTTTACTGAAATCCATAAATATGTTATATTTCCCTAGACTTCCAATTATTTACTAAAATTAAGACGCTTTACTCAATATAAAACAAGTGAAGAATAAGGCGCACCAAGACAGTAAATAAASGTGATAAAATATCCCAGATTTCTCATATATGACTCCGTGGCGCAATGGTAGCGCGTCTGACTCCAGATCAGAAGGCTGCGTGTTCGAGTCACGTCGGGGTCATTCAATTTTTGAATTTTTTTTCCACTAACCAAATTTTCAGTGTAGCTGTTTTACACCAATCGTAATCCACAGTCCAATAAGCAGCCTTAATTTTTAACCCTGCAAATCTTATGGCTTCTAAAGTGGCTCTATAGAAAGTTGTGTAAGCGCTATGTGGTTGACCCATGACAGCAATAGATGACAGAGGTCTAGGATGTGTGCTGCACGAGCATGCACAGCACCTTAACTGGAAGAATTTCTTTTTTGGTGACATGGTCTGCTGTGTATATGGTAAAAAGCATCTATGATTGTAGAGTTATTTTACAATAAAAAAATCAAGCGATTGGCAAAATATTGACGAATACAGTAGAGTGCACACACTAAAACTGTGAACATTAAATAGTACTAATTAGTACTATTTCATACAGAATCCTTTGTTTTCTATTGTTAAATTATCACTATTTAGTGCTTAAAATTAGTATTTGTTTCACGGACTTAGTGTGAGCACTGTACTATGGAAAAAGTTTAATTCAGAAAAATTAATCCTTATTTTGTGGCCTATTAAGTAACTACATGTTATTAGCTAAAGAATGCCCTTTCCTATAGTTTGGTATTATCTCAAAACCCTATATTGCCACCTTGAAATGATAGCTCAACGTTTTTATGCTTTTTACTAACAAAAACACTGAAAATTAAAGTATAATCCATAACTTTTACATTTTAAAAGCAAAACAAGAGACAATGTATAATTGAGTAAGTTTTTATTTATATTGCATTAGGGTGTTGTTGATTTTTCACCTTTGCTGATGTTCATTGTCACCTAAAACAGAAGATGCAAAATATGAACATCTGTGTAAAATTAAAACTGAAACCAGTAAACTTTATGGTTATTGCAAATAGCACACATCTGTAAATATGTAAATTTCCTATAAACATTCAATGTAAATTTTAATTTGTCTATGATGCTAAATAAAGTATGTAAGTTTGTTTTTTGTATGTATGTATGAATGTAAACAAACAATAAAAGTTTGAGATGCTGCTATAAATTTCAAATTTTAAGAGTTTGAGAAAAAAGTATTGGAACTTCTAAAAACACAAGTTAGACAAGAGTGGAAAATTTTATAATTTTACCAATCTTACCCCTAATTGACTATTTCAACATTAATATTTTATACTGAATTTTATAGCGGCAAACTGTTTGACCTCTTTCAAATTATGATAAGTTTCATTTTTAAGAAAAGCTTTAATGCCTCTTACAATTACGGATCCTTTCTATTTGTTTTTGGGCCCACTGTGGTAATTTTTATTCATAGTCTTTTGAATTTGCCTTTCGAAATTTTGTGCGTATGTTGGAATTTAAACTTTGTAAGTATGAGGCGAAATTAATTTTATTATTGTGTAAGATTTACTGTGTCTCTTACTGAGATAAGAATAAGGATTAGAGGTAATCAGCCACATGGCTTGATTTGCAACACACAAAACAAGGAGAAAGCTCAAAACGTAGCCTGAGAGAACAGATGAAAACAATTGCTGGTTTTCAATATTACTCACAAGAGAATGAAATAAAAGACATGGTAGCCATGTTAGATGATATACCCATTTCAATAAAGTTTGTCACCTGACAGCTGGTACAATGCTGATACTGCCAAGGATTATGGGTAGCTACATTTTACATGTAACTGCTTCATAACCGGCCAATGATAAACTTGGGATCTTTTACCAGCTAAAGTTTCTGTGAGCTGCCTCAAAACAATTTATATCAAAAGCTTTACTTATTGGTTATGAAGCGTTTCCAATGACCCTCACCAAACTCAGCCTTGTAGGTTTTTGGTGACTAATAATATTGAAATAAGTATATAACAAAAGACACTAATGATGAATCTTCTGTTAAATTCATCCAACATGGTGGCTGTTAAAACCATCAATACAGGGAATGCACTCAGGGAGCTAAAGAATGTCTGTTCTCATGCTACTCAACCAGTCAAAGTATTCTTTTTACTTTCACAAAGGGTTTGTAGTCTAAAAAGATTAGTAAAGTTAAGTAATAATACTAACCATATAGGCTGTAAAGATCTAAATGGCAACTTGTTCAGGCTTGCCTCCCTTGTGCTCAGATGTAGGCTGTGTGGGGAGAGGCTCATCCTTTGGTTCAACAATGCTGACTTGATCTGGAAGTGGTTTCTTGGGGCCAGTTTTGCCAGTTGGATCCCATGGCAACATAATTTTAACTTGAATACCAAGTACACCTGAAAAAAAACCCAGCAAATTTAATTTTACTGTTTTATGCTGTGACCTTGCTCTTTTAGTGCCATCAATAGCCAGAGCAAGAGTTATTGACTGTGCTTTTGACTGGTTGCTATGAAACCTTTTACAGTTAGGATGCAGGAGTTTATGTGACCTTCGAAAATTGCAGTAAGCATTAAAATCATGCAGCTTCTGACTTTGTACCCTTGTATTACAGAATGTGATGATTTCATAGAGTTCTTTGTAATTTTACTGAACAAAAAATTCATTTGTTTTAGACCAAAGCAATATTGTGCTTAGAACTATATAAAGTGGCCACATATTTTGGATTTGCAGTTATCCTCTTACTCTGCATGTTCAACTTCCTTTTATAACATGGGTTTCAGTTTCAAATAAAATTATTATTGGCATGTTATTAGAAGGTTGATAAATGTGTTCTCATCACAATTCTGATGAAGGCTATCAAATAGCCAAAACTTTATGCCTTATAAAATCTATGCATTCAAATCCATACATTTACAATTAAAATATAAATGTGTTCCGCTTTAATGCTCCCATATTTTAGCTCCCATTGTTTATAACACATCATAAAGACATGAAGCCCTCATATTTTTAAGACAATAATACTTTACCTTGTCTGAGGTACACATGTCTGACTGCAGTATCTACATAGTGTTTGGTTGGTTCACCAGCATGGATCATAAGACCATCAACGAATTTCATGGACTTGGCACGCTGTCCTCTTAATTTACCAGACACTACAACCTCGCATCCCTTGGCTCCACTTTCCATGATAAACCTAAGTACACCATAGCACGCCCTACAGAATGTTACAACCATGTTTATTAGAAGAGATATTGAAGAACTAAGAAATGTCACAATGCATAGGACTGTTATTGTCTAATGTTAATCGCATATCTTAAACCAATTATAGGATATGAGAGATAACACTTTACACAATGAAAGTGCTTGGATAAGGTACCATCTCATGGTACAGTATATGTGCACTATCACTTTTCACACTTATTCACACTATGAGTAGTTAAAAATTAAATGTCAGCATGATGATCTGAACAAGACCTTCACAGTGCATTTTGAATTGCTTACTATCAATCACTTGACTTTTTGAATTTGACTGGGGGGCAAACAAGCCGTTGACTGGGGGGCAACTGGCGGATGCTAAGTCAAAACATAACAAAATAAGTCCTCAAACTATTGTATTTGACTATTTTCACGACATCAAACCAGAAAACAAGAGATCAAAACAACCTCCAGGATTCTACAAGCCATCAAAAAAAGAGCTATTACCGGAAGTGACGTCTATTGATAGCAACCTATAATGCTAAACATACCTTCTGACAGCCAATCCACCAATCAACTTGTACCTAAGGGATTCACACTGTGCAATAGCACACAGTCCCCTAGTGGCAACCTTCTCAGCATAGAGCTAGAAATAACAAAATGAGAATATTTTAACAAAAATCTGAGTAAACTCATTCAAAAGTCTTGTATTTTGAAAAAGCATGGCTTGGTTCATACAATTAAATTCTCACATTCTCGCAAACCAGTTATGCTGAACTGGGCATCTGTGCTTAAATATTGTCCTCAAATAAATAAAAACATGCAAAATGTAATCAGGTAGATAAAGGGCTTATCAATGACAAAAGGAGTCAGACTTCTTCAATTTTAACATGCAATGTTTTAAGAACATCTATTGATTTGGATACCCTGTTGTTTCTTTAATATATCCATCATTTTTCATTTACTTCTTCATTAAGGACCAACTTCAGAATACCTGGCCATGCACTTTGTTTAATAGTATAAATCAAGTCTTTTGAAAATGATGCAATAGAGCATTTTCACATAACATCACAGCGGCCATTATGGGGTACCAAAACAATACATTTTCTATCCTCTGGGAATTGAACTCTATTTTCATGCAAATACTGTGCAGAAAGTTTCTCTTGTTTATGGCTGCCTTCTCATATGAGTGAAAACGCTCTATACAAATAGAAGAACAATAGGGAATTAATGTGTGCATATCATTTGGCCAGGTATTCTGAAGTTGTATCTTCATTAATTTATGGTCTCTAAATTGTCTATACACTAGTCTTCGATATGAAGCATGGAACCATCTGCATGATCAAATAGGTCTTTGTGGATGCCAATCAAAGTGTTTCCATCACAATGATGTGAGGCACAAAGCTTTCGAGGGCACATGCCTATACAATGCTATTAAAACCTTTTGATTTATGTCCAACTAAATATTTCTTACATACTATATACATGTCATTAGATGGTTAACACAGATATTTGCAAATGTTATTTTATATGTAAAAATGGAACTGATTTTCACATCACACAATGATAATACTGAACCTCTACAGTTCCTTCTGCGAATCCAAAACGTTTCTGTACGACTGATGTCAATTCACGGATTCTTCGTCCTTTCTCTCCCAGGACATTTTGTGTGCGAGTGGCCAGGATAATGATCTCAGTCCTGATAGGAGTTACACGGACCTCAACACCACTGTAGCCATCTTCAGCCAGTTCACGAGTTAGGAACTCATTGAGTTCAGCTTTAAAGAGTCCATCGCTTACGAACTAAAATGCAGAAAATTTAGATTATTCAAGAGATCAATAAATCTATATTGGTAAATTCTGTTTATACTGATTTACATAATCATTATTTTTCATAACAGGGGCTTCGTAAATATTCTTTGAAGCAATATATATGCAAAAATAGATGGAAAACAGACAGTAGATGTATCTCGGTATACTATAGAATCCACAAAAATCTTCCCCTTAACAAGACCATCCTGAGTTGTTATATACTTTAATCACATAAATAGACATCCTACAATTTTCCTACATTCAATTATTGTGAAAATGTCTCAAGCAACGGGGTAAAATCCTAATGTTTCTACCTTTCTCTTCTTACTGATCTGGGTAGCCATGATGACTTTCGCCAAAGAGAACGATCCCAGATCACATAGCGCCCTTAGTTTTCAGTGTGCGCACGCGCAGTATGGAGATTGACCGCCATGATTGGAAGAAGTGCAACTCGTTGTGCTGCGAATCTATCAAGAATTTCTTCTTCTCATAGCTTACTGGTAATTACTTTCCAATTATTTTTCTGAAATAATCATATCTAGGTCTAATTATTTGTGTTTTCTCAAAGAGAGCAGCTGCAAAGCTTTGTAAATCAGGAACGAATGGAGTAAAAAGAGGTCAGTGTTGCACGTGCGCCTCAGTATTTTGACATGATATCTAGTGTATTTTACAAGTTTCTCTGATCTTTATTAAAACTTTCATTTATAGCATCTACGCTTTCAGCTACGCTGCAATCAAGGCTTGCCAAAGGCAGTATGCCTAATAGTTCATTGTGAGTATATTTAACACACACAACAAAGACATATCACACACAAGATGAATGACAGGGAGACTGGGACTAGCATGCTATTCAAATCAGCTGCACTGAAGACTACTATTGCATACTTTTTTATATTTATCACTTTTGTTATGACTAGTTATTTCAATCTGCTTATTATGATGTTTATTGTTTCAACTATAGTATTTGTAATATCGTATCATGTAGTTACCACGACAACCATTTGTCACCAACATTGTCATAGTTTACATTGACAAGTTAGTGATAATTACCAGTATATTATATTAAAAAATTGGTTATATCTTTGTGTAAAGGACACGACAGAGGACACAGTGTACATAATTCAATAGAAACTTATTGTAAATTTTGTTAGCTTTGTTCTATACTTCAGTTTTGGGTTCTCTGTTGCTAAGGGTTAGCCAGAATTTTGATGAAGTTCAGTGAAGGTCCGTGGAATTTCAAATTTTTGCATTGTTGAAATTTTGCATTCGTTACTTTACCATTGGTATTTGTGAATAATTAGACGTGCACTGATTCTTGGCTAACCCTCAGTACATTGTAAATGAATCTGTAATCAAGAAACAGAATTTGGAACTCGAAAATAGTGTATTATATAAAATGTTTTTTTTTTTAAATTTTCGTGGCTATTGAATTACATAAACTGTGTCCTCTACATGAAGTGAGAACCAACATTTTTTCTTCATGCATCTTTATTGATAGGTTTTGAATTATAACCATTTTTTACCCTTTTGTTAGTGTTGCAGTTCAAGAAAAGTATGGCAAATTCCTTTCAAAAAACTTTAGTGCTATTTCAGCAGCCTGTGAGTATTGGATGTTATGGTTCTTATAGGAGGCCTACTATTTAAATATTAGACCTTTATCTTGATAACTAATCTTTTACTGCAGGCCTCCATCATTCTATCTTTACTTCTCTGGACTTCCTCATTGTCATACCCAGGCCCTACTTATGAGCCAGATCTCTAGACTGTTAGCAGTCCCACTTTTCCCTTCAAACTCATAGTCTATCAGTAAGGGCAATAGTTTTTGGATTCCTGTGAACGTGCATAGATTGGAGATGATTAATGCTAAGTATTACTCGGCTCCAATCTCTGCGTGCCTCAGGAATCCCAAAACACTGGTTTTTACTTTGTCTGGAGGGGAAAGTCTGGGAATCAAATTCTATTTTCATTTGTTGAACATATGAATTTTTGCAAATGGAAGACATAAATAAGTTATTAGAAAGGTTGAGCCAGCATTGTATAGTATGACGATATCAGGAGATATTAAGATATCAGGTTGAATGAGTCACTGTAAGTGGTCTCTGGCTTTCAGTAAGGAAGACTTCCCCTTTTATGATCTCTCATGTATATTTTTTACTTATTGTTTTACTAACATTTTTACTAATTTTCCAGGTGATTCACCACAGGTTTTAGTAGAGCTATTGATACAAACTGGAATAAGTACTGATTTGCAAGAAGATGATGAAGAGATGTCTAGCGTTTCAGGAAAAAAAAAGCATAGGCGAAAGCAGAAATACTGACAAATTTTAATGTAAAAAGAATGACAAACAACATTAAATAATTGGATATGTTATAGACCTATGCATGGGCTGTATGTTTTTCTCCATTTTTATGGTTTCATATTCTGTATATTAAATGCAAAGATCGTTCAGATTTTTAAACATTTTTTTAAATAGCTTCCTTTTTGCTTTATTTGCCTCAACTGACATTATCACAATAAGTAAAGCAATGAATGAGCATTAAAAAAATGAAAGTTGTATAATTTTAAACCTAACTCTGTTTTCTTTTTGCGTTGCTAGTGTGTGTTTTTTTTTTTTGTTTGTTTGCTTCAAAGTGACTTAGGAAATAGGTAGTAAAAAATTTTGAAATTAAATATGAAAAAAAAGGTTTTTATGTCTTTTATGATGCATTGTTGTGTATTATGATTGGTATTTGTAGTTGGATGTCACAACAAGTTAACATAATATTCAGCTTTTAGGGTTTTGGAATCCCTTGTAATTCATTGTAATCATTTAACAATAAAAAAAACAGCCTTAATAATTATTTATTAGTAGTATTACATCATTTCTGGTCAACTTTGATAGTATTTCTCATCCAAGCTTAGCCTGTGTCGTGGAGGGAAATTAAGACTGAGCCAGGACTGAATCTAAGAATGCAACCAAGATTATTAATGGAAGGAAAAAGAGTGCTACTGCGTTTATCTTGGAAGAATTTTAACATCTGACCTTCCCTTATCATGTGCTGAAAAACACAGGTCCCCATGGACATATCATCCCTCTTCACCAACTAATTAATAAATAGTACCAGGGTTGGATCAAGGATTATCATAAGGATGGGGTTCATATGTTCAAAGGGCATCCATCTGTAAGAGATGCTAAATCAAAATTATCATGGGCTGCAGCCCACACAACCCTTCCTTTTCCCCAACCCTTACATTCCTGTGTGTTCTTGCAAATTGAGGGTTTTCCTTTTTTCCTCCGAGGGTGCTGGTGAGGAGAAAATGCACCCCCTCCCCTCCTTTGTGAAAAGAAAATGGTGTCTTTCTTAGAATTTTGAATAGGACGTACTTGCATGATGGTGTCATTTTGACTCCCACTACCAAGATGCTTCGCAAATTTTCTTTCTTATTTAAATTCGTATTCTCACGAGGATAGTAAGACAATTGGTGCTAATTAACTGAACAAAAGAAAGCGTGCAAGGGAGTCTGGTAGTAGAGGTCAATGACGCCATCATGCAAACGGGCTATTGGCATTCTAGAGGCCCAAGCTATTGGTGGATTTTTTAATTTTACTCTTCCCCTCTCCCCCCCCCCCCCCTGGAAAATCCTGGCTACACCCCTGCATAAAGTATAACAGGGAGAGGAGAGAGTGCTGGGTTTTACATGATTGGTGGTAACCTTGGGAGATCAAAGTACTTCACCTTGACATTACCAAGACAAAAGCCACCCCTTACTAAAACCAAAACAAGAAAATACAAAATCAATGATTTCGCAAAAACACATAATTTCTACTGCATATGTGACCTCAATAAAGCTTAAATTTTTCAAAAAGGGCGAAAATGAAGTCAAAACAAGACCCAAACAGGGTTTGTGCATGATATCACGCAAGGGTGATTCACTACTGGTGACGAGCGGTCAATACCCAGCGATTATGTTCCTTCTGCCAATCAACAGAGCTTCTATAGACACCACCTTCTATCCGCCTTCCTGTGTTCGAAGAACCGAATATAAATAGCAAACTCCTAGCTAAGGTTAGAATATTGTCTTATACTTAGCAGGAGGGAGAAAATTTTTTGAGATAAAAGTTGAGATAGAAAAGCCAAGATGATGTTGCGAGTAATGAGTCGAAGAGGAGCTTCCGTTTTGAGTCGTGTTAGAGTCATTCGATGTGTTTCAACGACAACTCCAACTCTAGTTCAAGAGGCAGACAAAAGCAATGAAAATAAGGTGAGTTTTACCTCATATTAGATCATTTTGTTTTCTAACACTAACTCGTTTGGAGGGCTGGACTCAATATGGAGGTTTAGTTACAAAAAACTTCGTAGATAACCGTACTGACTTCTGCTTTGTTTTTCTTTTCTTTTGATCCATCATAAATTAGGCTTTAATATATCTATGAATATTTCATAATTAATTTTAGACCAGGAAATAAAGTTCAAGGTTTGTTCCCTAGATTATCATTTATTTTAATATCCTGTAAACCTGAAAAAGAGAAAACGTAGGAACATTTTCTGGGTCATTGGACAACCATTCTAACGGGAAGCCATCTTGGAATTAACTCAAATTATATACTCTTGAAGCGAGACCGGCGTAGGCTAAATATGGATCTTAACGACTAACTTTCCGTATAAATAGACTCTAAAACTTCACAGTACATTATTTGAAAGTGTATGTGTGTGTTTTTCGCCCTTAATATAGCTTATTTTTGCAAATATATGCGAGTAGAGTTGTCGTGACTAAATATTGTTTGATACCCAACACCTTTTTTGACACCTTTTTGATGTCTGGGATTATCGCTCCATTAAGAATTCTAGAAAAATCTTCCATGTTGCAATATATATATATATAGAAGGTAATTGTAGCACGGTTTGTCGTAAAACAAGAGCAGTACAACACACTAAAACAATCTCTTGAAGATTTTTGCGATCTTGAGAACATTTCATCTCAAGAACATTTTGAGAAAATCTTATAGAAGATTTTTAGATAATACAAGGGAACACTCAATCGATCGAACGTGTCCAGCAGGGTCGGACGAAAATTAATTACACATTAGTTTGTTGTGTTTGGGAAAATATACTAATTATTAGGAGAAATGAGTTTGAGAATTCTTCAATATGAGTAGCCTGAAAATCTTGATTGATTTGGACCTTTTATAAGCTTATATATCTACATTATTTTATAACTTAGAAGTAATACAATTTTTTAAGTGTCAAAAGGTTTACTGGTACCAGTTTGTCTTTTGTTCTAACTAAACACATTGTAGAGCTAGCTAGAGCAAAGCTTCAGCCACCTACATGCATATTATGCCTCAGGCCTATTCTTGGGATGCATACCACATCATACTGTATAGTGGTCACCATGTTGGTTGACAATATGAAAACATTCCTCATTAGCAGTGGTACCATTAACTTTTGAAATAATAAGAGAAGATCATGAGCTGCCAGAAAGTCGTGGGACTAAGTGAACATTTTACAAATGACTAAGCTAATAATATGGTAGTTTAATGTGGCTGGACCTCCTCACGCTTGACCGCTACCTTCCACGTTTAAAACACTGGTGCATAAACGTGTTTTATCTGATTGCAAATCTTTTTTGCACATAAGTCACATAAAGATTGAATTAATGTTTGACGCAGTTTTTAATGAGATCGGACATCATAACACGTGATTATGATGAAATATTGGTTTTCGTTTAGAGAACAATTTAAGCCTTGCAGAGTGTTCAACACTAAAATGCTTTGTACCACATAATTATATACTAGATGCCTCCATTTGAAGGGATTTTTGAAAAAATCTATCTAGCTAATTATGAGATATTTGAGATTCTTTAGAAATAGTGCATAATTTACTTCAAAACTAAACAATGGATTTGATGCTGCCGAGATTAATATTTCAGAGCTATATATTCACAAAAGTCATTGCTCATTTAGTTTTACTCTGTATCTAGTTTTAAAAGGAACATTTTGAAGGTAATCGACTTATGCGATTTTGTGAAAACAAAATTCATGCGCATTTTTCATCGCAGTGTTCTAGTCAATCTTACAAGATCTTCCATCATTCTAAAATTCGTTGATAATTTGTCTCAAAACTATGCCAGGATGCAAATCAGAACTTAAACTAATATTACACAAAATTGCAAGACTATTGAACTCATTTAAAGCGATCTAAAGCGAATGAGAAATACAGAAAACATTGATCGTTTTCCAACAATTTGATGCTCTGGGAATTCTATTGTTTGCTAAATGATCATAACATCAAAGTCTTTCGCACCATGCACGGTCTCATCTCGCTTGGCTGCTTTAGCATTAGCTTCTCTTGTTAGGTCAACCAACATGGCAGCTGTATCATTGTTATTTATATTGCAAGAAATTTTGAGTCATGTGGTTGCACCTCAAGAATTGTGCATGCTTTCCCTCACACTTTCTAACTGGCAAAGTGTTTCTTCAGCAAAGTGTTTCTTCAGCAAAGTGTTTCTTCAGCAAAGTGTTTCTTCAGCCACCCACGCCTATGATGCATGCTTCTGATCACACTCAGTTCCACAAAGTCCTTTTTCCCAACCACCTACACCTGCAAGTAGGTCATGCTCGTTCTCACACTCTTTTCACGCTTTCATCACTTCCTGTACGACTCAATTGAGGACAGGAAGTTAGAGCTGTTATGGTTTGTAATTGGAATTTAGAAAAATTGTTTAGTATCTTCATAAGTGAGGATTTTGAGATTAATAATATAAGAAACGATATGGGACAGTAATTCACAGCGTTTCGAGGTCATGCTGACCTCATTATCAAGTGTGTTTAATGGAACTAAATCTTGACTATTTATAAACTAATTTTTGTTTCAGTAGCAGTAAAAAACCCAAGAAGTCATTAACCCCCTCATAGTGCAGGAGATAATCAATAAGAAACTTTTCTAACACCACATTATCATCATTATATTTTACTCTGTTATATAACAATGTATGCATTAATTCATATAGTGTAAAATCTCAGATATAAAACCTGGGCTTAGACTCTGTTTGTAAGGATGTTTTTGGTGGGTCTATACTTTGTAGGGGGGGAGGGGGTGGGGCTATACCTTGTAAGGGGGAAGGGAGGGGGTAGGCCTATACTTTGTAGGGGGAGGGGTGGGGCTTGTAACTTGAAGGAAAAAGAGTTTTGGATGAAGAAGAAACATTTATTTCTTTCTCTTATGCTCCAAGTTTGGCTCATCTCTGTACATTAGTAGACCTGCTTGTTGGTTCGTTATCTCCAGCCACTAAGCTTTCCTCTCTCAACAAAATAAACTTCTAAATCCTAATTAACCTTTCTGAAATTCACATAGAAACTGGTAATGACCTCATGCTGCACAGAATCATGGGAATGAATTTGGAGAGGTCTAATGGCAAGGCAGTTTAATCTTGTCCCAAATGCAGTTGCACAATCTCATGCTCTAGAAAGGCATTTCCAGTCTTGCTTTTAACTTCAGAAGGTCATATCAGGAGGTCCCTATATTTGCTATATGGGTACATGCCACCAAACAGGGTATGGTTTTCAGTGATCTGGAACAGGGTATATGAAATCGTGCTTGCTCTCTGGAACAGGGTATTTGAAATCACGCTCTCTCAATCTGGAACAATCTGGGTATCTATATTTTTCGCAAGTACCGGAACAGGGTTTTTAATATACAACAGGGTATGGTTTAATTTTCAGAGATTTTACTGGTACAGGGTCAGGGTTTAGAGTTCAGAGGGCTAGAGGTACATCCCTACCCCAAAGGGGCAAGAGTACCCCCCTCCCCCCCCCCAAGGGAACTATCTACATGTGTGTGCTTTTAAGAGTAGTTTTAAAGAACCTGTGAAACAATTGCTAGTAGCATATCTATAATTCAGCAGTAATACATATTATTACTCTTTAATTGTTAATTAATAAGTGTCATATACCAGTATGAAAAAATAAATAGAAAAAAAGAAGAATATGAGAAGAATATGAGCAGAAGAGGAGAAAAGAGTACGAGAGACACAGAGAGAGATGAGGAAGGAACATTGTTGTCTATAATAGACTTTGCTATTTTATACCTGTACTAAACTATTTATGAACTAGAACAACATTTAACAACACAAAAACAAAATTGATTAGAGTGCACGCACTAAAACCGTGAACATGAAATAGTACTAATTAGTACTATTTCATGCAGAATCCTTTGTTTTCTATTGTTTAATTATCACTATTTAGTGCTAAAAATTAGTATTTCTTTCACGGATTTAGTGTGAGCACTATGACAAATAATAGCTATTTAGTGACTAATAGTTGCTATCACTCAACCAGAACATTCATTACACAAAGACTCAAATGGTCTATTTGTCTTTGTGTAATGAATGCCTTACTTTTTAATCATGCCAATATAGTATGCACATTTTGATGATGTTATACCATCTTGTTTCAGCATTTCAGGTTTACCAGCATTGATGCATTTATGGATTTTGTCAGTAAAAACAATCCCGGAGAGTCAGAGTTCCATCAAGCCGTCCACGAAGTGGTCACATCAATATGGGACGTCTTGTCTGAGAACCCTTACTACAACCAACACAACATTCTGGAGCGAATCGTAGAACCTGAGAGAGTGGTGATCTTTAGAGTACCATGGAGGGACGACAAAGGAAATATTAATGTCAATAAAGGTTATCGAGTGGAGTTCAATTCAACCATTGGTCCGTTCAAAGGTGGGCTGCGTTTTCACCCCTCTGTCAATCTTGGCATTTTAAAGTTCTTGGGTTTTGAACAGGTTTTTAAGAACAGTCTGACAACGCTTCCTCTAGGAGGAGGCAAGGGAGGATCTGACTTTGATCCTAAAGGAAAGAGCGACAACGAAGTGATGAATTTCTGCCAGTCATTCATGACGGAGTTACAACGTCATATTGGACCAAACACAGACGTCCCAGCTGGAGATATAGGCGTTGGAGGCCGAGAAATTGGTTACATGTTTGGCCAGTATAAACGAATACGTAACGAATTTACAGGCGTTTTGACGGGCAAAGCTCATGGATGGGGAGGCAGTCTTTTGAGACCTGAAGCTACTGGTTATGGCCTTGTGTACTTTACAGCTGAGATGTTGGCTACCAAGGGAGAAAGCTTGAAGGGGAAGACAGTCACTGTGTCTGGATCTGGTAACGTAGCACAGTTTGCAACAGAGAAAGTCAAGCAGATGGGTGGTAGAGTCGTTACACTGTCTGACTCCTCAGGAACTGTCTATGACCCAGATGGTATAGACAAAGAAAAACTAGCTTATGTGTCGGAATTAAAGAACGTCAAGAGAGGTCGAATCAGTGAGTACGCCTTGAAGTATGGCGTCAAGTTCTATGAAGGTAAAAGGCCTTGGTTCATTAAATGTGACATTGCACTTCCCTGCGCAACGCAGAATGAAGTAGACGAAGAAGACGCACAAACGCTAGTTGATAATGGTTGCACTTGTGTAGCCGAAGGAGCCAACATGCCAACTCTGCCAAAAGCGATAGAAATCTTCCAAAAAGCCAAGATCTTATATGGGCCTGGAAAAGCATCTAATGCAGGTGGTGTGGCTGTATCTGGATTAGAAATGAGCCAAAACAGTCTACGAAGTGCTTGGACACGCGAAGGTGTTGATGAGCGACTACACGACATCATGGAGAACATCCACAGCACTTGTGTCAAGTTTGGCACCTCGAAAGACGGCAGCTACGTCGACTACGTCAGAGGTGCTAATATTGGAGGCTTCATTAAGGTAGCCCAGTCCATGGTGGAACAGGGTGTGGTCTAATGACGGAACATATTCTTTAATTAGTATTACATATAAAATATGGTCTTAGTAAATGAAAATGAGGTAAGATATTCGATTGATTAGAAAATAGAAAATAGCGAAGAACTGTCTCTAATAAATAGTACGAATTACGAACTAGGTGCCTGAAAAGAATCTAAATAGATATTGTGTAGGAATTTGAGGACACTTTCTTACATGGTTTGAGCATACGGCTCAAAAACGTGATGACGAATGAATATTTTAAATATAGTTTTATAGCCTTTTCTCTGTGTAGGATTTTACATTCACTTTATAAACCAGAAAATGAATTGAAAGTTATGACACATGGAGTTTTTAAGTTAACAGGCGGAAAAAATTTCTGCATGGCAATGAAAAGTGAATACCAAGTTGTTCCTAGTATCTCGTTCTTAAAATGAGAGAAGCCTGGTAAAGACTCCAGGATCGATGTGATGTAAAATAGCCCAAGACAATAAATATAGGGTGCATTTATTAGCACTAATACTTTAATAATATCTAATATTATTTTTCGTATGAATTTGTTGTGTTTCCGTGTATTGGTTGAATTTGAGAATAAAAAAAGTGTTAAACATTGTGTGAATATTTTTTATCATATCTATTTGATATATATTAATTAATTTGTTATTGTATGACAAATTCTGTCTGTAATAAGCCTGACGCGTGATGACGTTTTACCCCCGACTCTATACCATATAGTTTTTAAAATTCTTTCATATTAAATTTTTTGAATTATGAATTCTCATCAAAAAAAATTCATAGCAATGTAGGATAATACTCATCATAAAGTTCGTGTTCTGGTATCGTGGCCCGTCGAGTTCTTTAAATTTGGATGCGCACGCAAACCTTGAGAAAAGTCTATTTGGCTCTGCTCGAAATCAGTGCTAGCTCGTGTTACTATGAAAAGTATACGTGGTTCGTTCAGGAACCAATACCTAAACACTTCTTCTTGTCCATGAACGTACTGTCTTGTTTACCTTCATGGTTTATTTGTTGAATCCGTCAAAGTTTTTCACACTACAGAATAAGACTAGTACTATAGTAGCCCCTCATAGGCAACCCGTTAAAAGTGAAGGAACACACGGGTTTTGACGGCAATGAATGGATCTTCCATCAGTTATGTTAGTTAATGGAAGTCGTTAGGCAATCTGTTTATAAAATAATATCAGGACTTCTGGACGGTGTTTAAAGGTAGACCTTGCACAGAGATGGAGCGATTTGAGAAGAGGGGGTGGCTGGGCGGTCACAACATTCTGGGGTCAACCTGAAAACATGCTCCCTTCCTTCTAGTAAACGACGGACTATCGTCCGAAACGTCAGTAAGTTTTTTCATAATTTCACGGTGTATAATTTACCTTTTTATCATTACTGTTTCATTAGAAACACCGACGCAGCTCACACTTGTTTTTAGCTAGATATCTCTTTTAGTAAACAGCGAAATTTTAAAGTCAAGACCCAATTATAAACATTGGTTGCAATTTATATGATCTTTTTGCTGCGCAGTCTATGGTTGCCCATATATGTGAGAGTTTTAAAAATACCCAAAACTTGGAGGCGCTGGGCATTCCAGTCTTTGTAAAGTGAGGGTGTTAGGGTACATCCGGTATCATCCGGTCCCGCGCGCACATATTGCAATCACAGTAATAGTAGAGTGATTACTACACAACCTAATCTGCCAATTATCATTTTGTTTTGATCATTTCTCGCTGTTTTTTAATAACTTATCTGTATTCTAAGAGTAAAATCCCCTCCCTACATTGTTAAGCAACCGTTTATTTTAGAATATCAATTTGTAATCTTCATGATTCAGGTCGCTTTTAATGTCAATGTCAACCTTCTTGCTGCCTTCTTTAACGAGCTGTAGTTTTATCATAGGGGTTACAGACACGTCTCTCTGTTCCTTCGAGGGTTTCCTGTGGTTTTCGTGTTGTAGGCTGTAGTCTACTGTAATATGGATGGTGCTACCATGTTCGATCAGTTCTCGTTCATGCGCAGCTGCTAACTGGTYGACGACGCGTCGTTCAACCTGCATGAGCAGATGAAGGAGTAAACCTCGTTATCTTACTGGATAATGCTAATAAAGAGGTTTTCGTGAGAGTGGGAAGCGTACAGTATTTTCTTACTGCACGTACACGGTACGACCTGCTGTAACATTGAAATGGCTTCCATAAGAATGTTTATCGTTCGAGTGGGAAACGTACGGTAGGGTCTTCCTGTACGAGCACGGTACGACATGCGTAACATTGAAATGGCTTCCCATAAGAATGGTTATCGTATGAGTGGGAAACATAGAGTACGGTCTTACTGCACGCACACGGTAAGACATGCCGTAACATTGAAATGGCTTCCCATGCATTGCCTTCCGGTATTTCATCCAATCACCAGTAGTTACAGATACGGAAAGATACGGTACGACTACAGTACGCCTACGAATTTATCGTATCGTTCCCCACTCATACGAAATCCGCTCTAATCCTAATATTATTCAGAAGCCGGAATCCAGAGAGCTGTGACAATGATTGTGCGTAAAGAAAGGGTTACTATTGGGCTACCTGTGTGTGTAGATTAGTTTTTATCATAAAGGGATCCAAAGAATCAAAGAAAGTAAAAGAGGAGAGAGGAAGAGAGACGATTGCGAAGGAGGTTAGATCTTGAAAATAATGGAATCAATTGTCGCAGTCACAATATATTTGTTTCCATGCTGAACCCACCCCAACTCAAAATACTTGATCCATTACTTATTAGCAATTCCAAGGTTGTAAAAAAAAAAGGGGCCGAGTCCCCTAAAACAGCCCCACAATGCACTGCAATGCCAACTCGACCCAGTTTTCCCCTCGACATCGTAATGGCTAATAAAAAACTCACACGCACTACCACTACGTTTCTTACCTCGTGCTTAATAGAGCGAGCACCATAATATACATCATAGCCGTCAGCAAGAACATCCATCACTTCTCTGTCCCACGTGATGTGAATATCGTGACGTTTCAAGGCCTGAAAGAAACATGGAAGATCATAATAGGACGTTTGCATGATCGCGTCATTTGACTCCCACTACCAAGATGCTGCGCGAATTTTCTTTCTTTATTGAATTTGCATTTCCTCATGAGAATAGTAAGACAATTGGCGAGCAAAAGAAAGTGTGCAAGGAAGTCTGGTAGTAGAGGTCAATATTGTCCTATTGACATACCAAAAGCTAGTCTTACGATTATGACTAATACACCAACATCCTTTATCCATTCTGTAATTTATAAATGCATCCACCTCCGTATGATTTTTAATTATTAATAAGTATCAATTTATTGATGGTATGCATGCAATCCTAAAGAGAGTCAAACGACAAAGACTTGGCGGCCATGTTGGTGGAATTAACAATGGATGCTAATGAGAAATCTTTTGTTAAATGGCACCAGCATGGCCGTGATGACGTAACGTGCAAACCAAGAATTCCCCATTCATTGACGTCATAATCATCAGAGCACATCATTGGCTTCTTTAGTACATAGTTAAGCAACTTCTTCAGTTGTAAATAGTTAGAGTTACTCTATATTAATAAACTCTGAGTTATAGCTGAAGGAATATCATGTTTTGACACCTTAATGTTATTAGCCTAAACTCTGAGTTATAGCTGAAGGAATATTATGTTTTGACACCTTAACGTTATTAGCCTTTCATATTAGTGTGACTTACCGTTTTGCACCAATGTTCCAGCTCTCGTGAAACTAGCTGTAGGAGTTCAGTGCGAGAAAACGGCAAGAAGTAGACGATCTCGTTAATCCTGCCAAGAAATTCATCCCTTTGGAAATGACGCTAACGAATAAAACAATACAACATTAGATGAGAAGCATTCAAATCATTTATCTCACTTCACTGAGCAACAGGAGCGATTATACTTGAGTTTTCGTATGACAGTGAAAAGCTCAAGGCAAGACATAAGTCAAACCAATAACATTGCGGCAAAAAAAATCAGCCAATCAAAATTCTAGAAAACATCGTTTTTTTACAAGCATTTTGATTGGATATCAAAGCAACGAACTGACACGCTAAGTTTGGGTCAATTGTTTTGTGTCATTTCCTTACCGTGACCGTGTGACATGCTTTTGCATATGTATATTTATTAGAATAAAAAAAGACGGCACGCATGTCCATATACTGTGATATAAACACGCTGAGGGCTGTAGAGCAAGAGAGAAGTTATGAAGCAATACGAGGCGTAGACATCCGGCCGCAAGGAATTCCTTTTTTCGTTTACCTTTAAGATTGGTTGAACAACTTTTTCTTTGAATTTTCGGGATATTGTTACTTGTTCTGTTATTTCATTCTCTAAAATAAAAAATAAATCATCATTTTGATTTCTTTTGCACCTTTAGTTTAAATCTCTTGAGCTATGAATAACACTGAAACAACCACCATGTTCGGTTGATAGACTGTTGTTCTAACTGGAGAATCTATTGAGAAATGCTTTATCAACCAACATGGTGGCTATGATGTGTTCCAGAACTCTTTGTACTGAAACCAGAATTCCCAAGGGTTGGTTTGGTCTGAAGATTAGCCATATAGACCCCTTGCAGCACGTCGGAATGTGTCTCAATTTGGARGACATAACAATAGGTTTTCAATTCTCAAGAGATCAGGACTCTATTGTTTAATCCTCCAATTGAGCTCCTTTGACGTCACATGCAAGGGGTCTATTCCAGCATGTTTTAACTTCGTTTCTTGGGGAAGTATGCATGCAATTATTTATAATACTAACTATCTTTTCTCATTAAAGCAGCCTCATGGGCTTCCTGTCGTAATTCCAGTGCATGGTTGGCGATTTCATTACTAGCAAGGTTTGACGTCATAACAAAAATGGCATCCTTACAATCTATTGTCTTTCCTTTGCCATCTGTTAGTCTCCCCTATAAAAAAGGTTTACACATACAGTAAGAAACCTCTATAAAGCGGGCCCTTTATTGAGTGGACAGCTGATCATGGGTGCCAACATGTTCTTCCCACATATTTATAGTAACACAAACCTCTATTTTGGGACACATTTATTAAGCAGACACCAGGTAAGGTCCTGAAGTTGTGGGCTCAACATAGATACCACTGCAGTTTATATATGATGAATAACTTGGAAGTCAGTTAAGTTATGACTAGTAGGGGTGGGGTGGGGTTGGTAGTGGGGTCAAATGGTGTTGGGTGGGGTGGATGAGAGAGATTAAGATGGCTTTTCCCTACCTCATCAAATAACTGCAACATAACAGTAAGCACATCTGGATGGGCCTTATCAACCTAAAACACCAAATAACTTATTAAAGAACTAGTCAACCATGATGATTGTGAGCCAGAAACACTATAGGTTATTTTATCTGTGTCAAAAATATCTTCAAATCCCTTTACCTCATCAAACAGAACCACAGCATCAGGGCATTCTTGGAGTCTTTTAGTCAATTGTCCCCCCTGATCATGTCCTATGTAACCAGGGGGGGAACCAATCATTTTAGCTACTTCATGTTTTTCTTGGTATTCTGACATATCAAGACGAATAAACCCCTGAAACATTATGATATTTATTAATAGAAAGAAGTGATTTCAAATCGATATTCAATTACAATTTATTATTTGGGAAGCACGGGTGGCGTGCGCTGCTAATGCGCTGCCTCTCACCAATGCGGCCCGAGTTCGAGTCCTGCTGATCTCAATGTCGTATGTGAGTAGAGTTGTTTGTTGGTTCTCTCCTGTGCTTCGAGGGTTTTTCTCCGGGTTCTCCGGTTTTCCTCCCTCCTCATAAATGAACTCCTAAATCCTAATTTGATCTTTGGGCTTTCACTTAGTTTGGAGCCTAGCTCTGTTGTGATTGTCCCACGCTGTGATACGGCAGCGAAAAGCTTTGTACCTCTAATCCCCATTATCTTGTGACCCCAAAAGGAAATAAACATTTTGAAAAAGAAATTTGATTTGTAAAGGACTATCTGAGATGAGATTAAGTATCAAAAACTAATGGGAGGAAAGTATAATATTTGTACAAAAGTGTAAAACATACCTTTTTGTTGCCTTTGTGAATATAGTTGGCTATTTGCTTAGCAAGCTCTGTTTTTCCTAAACATGGGATAGACAAAGTAAGCATAAGAGTCTTTGTTGAAGGTGAAATAACAGTTGGGCTACCTGTGTCCAGTTAGTGACATGTGAAAGAGTAAGTCGTGCAATTTATTTTAAAGCAGTTGAGTTGCCCGTCTCCTATACAGCTGATATTAACGTTGTCACGCAACGCTCTCCCCCCCCAAAAAAAACAAATCTCTCAATATTCTGTGAAGGGTTTTTAAGTCCTAGCCTTCTCTCCCAGTCAAAGTTCTGTTCCCTACTCTATGAAATGCTATAACAAATTATCCTTTATTTGCTGCAGTGACCAGCTAAGATAGTTTACATACCAATCCCTGAAGAACCCAAAAACAAAAAAGTAAGGGGATGTTCTGCATCATGCCATCCATTTTCCTTCCTGCGAATGGCTGTGAAGGTAGCACAATCAAAAATGTTAATTAATGTGACATCTTTGTTATATCTGGCAACTTTAGTGTAGTGGGGTTTTGTGCACCGGGAGGTTAATGTACTATCTTTCTGCCAAATACAAATGTGTAGGTATTTCATGATCATGGTTAGAGTTTCCTGCCCTATCCACAGGAATCTCACATGAGAGAATAAAATTTCAAGATGCAAAACAGTAACTTGTAATCATATTCAAATTCAAGTCAAGTTCAAGTTTACTCACACACAATACATACAATTATAATTACAAAATTAAATTACATGTTTATATATATATATATATATATACTTGATAAATAAATAGTCAAAAATATTATATGTATGTGCGGCTGTTGAAGTAGTATGAACTTTCGAGTCAACAGAAAGAAAATTAAACTATCAAATAAATAGAAAATAGTCTAATAATGACACAGGAAAGGAAGTATACAGTGTTTAGTCTTAGTTTAGTTTAGTCACAACTCACCTCCAGCAACAGTCAATATAGGTCCTTCCTGTCCAACAATGTGTTCTTTGATTCTTTTCTCAAGAGGATAACGCCTTCTCTCTTCAGCTTCTTTTCTCTTTTTTTCTTCTACAAACTGCCAGATAATCAATTAAAATCAAAATCTTATTTGAAATATAGCAAAGAATGTGATCCCAAAATGATAGTGTAATGGCTAATAGGACACCAACATTGTATTGATAACCTATTAATATTTTACCAAAACCCTACTAACGYTGATTATAGGGTGCGTTCTTCAGTTTTACCATTTTTTAAAGGCTTTATGCCTGAACCTTACTAAAGATGTTGAAATTAATGAATATACTATTTCTAATAATATTATCGTTAATATTAATTAATATTTTTAAAAAACATGAGAGGCCTGATCAATGATTTTATTACCTTGGTAGTATATTCATTGATAATGTTTATAATAGATTGTTCTCTTGTGTAGCTTATAGCATTATGACCAGTGTCATCCTTTATAGTTGGATCAGCACCTACAAACATGTCCAAAAGCAAAACCAAAAACTCAAAAGAGCCTTAGATAATCTTATTTTTTTAACTTGTTCCTAACAACGATACAAAAATTCATAGGAAAAAAATTAAGTATAACTCATAAGTGCCTATTGTCCCAGTCCGAGCCCTGTTCTCTGCCATCATATGCACTATATTACTGCAATATGTGTCATATATTATACCTGCATTAAGAAGAAGCTGAACACATTCATAACTATCTGCTAGGGCTGCATAATGTAGAGGAGTGAAGCCTGAGAAGTTAGCTCCTTTGTTTAGTCTTTCACTGAAAGTGTTTTCTCTCTCCAGTATAACTGTAGTACAAACAGATGTGCGGTACATAAACAAGTTATGCAGTCATGAGACTGAGCCGGAGGAGGAGAAGAATGACAAAGACAATCAAGGAGGTGAAGGAGGATGAATGATGATGATAGAATTTTTTAGTGTGGTGCTAAAACTTGCATTCCATATTCATCATATGAATTATTATCCTCTTCAAACAGTGGTCAAATTCACATTTCCCAGTACCTTCTTGAAAGGTAACTACTGTGCCTGTGCATTGGAGCAAGAATGGCAGTAATCCCTGCAATAACAGAGACATGTAAATGATATTGTCCAAGATGTTAAAAAAGGTCTCTATCATTGCAAGGTCACTGTCATTCTTGCTTCGATGCACATTCACAGTTACCTTTAAGATGGCACAGGGAACTGTGAAGGGGACTGTATATTGATGCACCCAAACTTTGAAAAAGGAAGTACCTTCATATGTTCCCCTTTGTTTCTTCTGTGCTACTTTGAATGCACTACTAAACTCTTCTAGTGTATTAGGATCTGCTCCAGCTTCAAGGAGTAGTTGAAGAGCCCTAAAGTCAATGAAGTGAATATGTACAGCTTTACACAATGGATAAGTAGACACTACATGATAAGCAATATAGCAGAAGCTATTGAAGAACTACATGGCAAAACACTAAATCAAATGTGTATCAAGTTTATGTATACCTATCACTTCCATTAATTGCTGCCACATGTATAGGAGCCCAACCAAGTGAATGTTTTTGATTGACATCATGTCCTTGCTTTAATAACCTAGAAAAACAAGCACCAAACCTTGTGATTAATTGTGGGTCTTGTACTTAGTCATTCAAGAAATGGATATTGAGAGATGAATGTCTCTGTACTGTGAATATAAACACACTGGTAACTGTAAAGCACGAAAGAAGCAAGTTTAGGAACACTACTACTACTACAACTGCTGCTACTACGTACTACTACTGCTGCTACTACTACTACTACTGCTGCTATTGCTACTGCTGCTGCTACTACTACTGCTACTGCTACTGCTACTGCTTTTGCTACTGCTACTGCTTTTGCTACTGCTACTGCTACTGCTACTATCCCTGCTACTACTAATGTTACTGCTACTGCTTCTACGACAACTATACGTCTGCTGCTGCTTCTACTACTACAGTTGCTGCTGATTATAATGGCAAGGATGTTGACAACAATATCACAAACACATGTAACTGGACCTTTCTAATTCCAAGACATTATTATCCTTGGTAGATCTACATAGTTTCTGTATTACATCTGTTGATACAAGATCAAAAAATACATGTATGTATTAGAACTCAATAAATCATGATCAACATTAGCCATGGTGCTAAAACACTGAACAACAGGGCTCCAGCCATTTCAGTGTTACCAAAAAACTCCACATATCCCCCTCCAAGTTCCACAGTGCCTGCACGTTAATCGATGACTATGGTGTTATGGTTATACAAACACGATGAGCACAAATGACAATAACAGCAGATTGGCAAGGTGTCGCAGGGTGATTATTCATGTCGTCTTGAAAGTTATAAGAGAATTTCCCAGTGTGTAGACACGCGTCCAAAACATCGCGTCTGATGCAATCATTCACTCAAATTTCTTTAAAAAACATTGTACAAAAAAGGTGTTAAAATTGTACAGATTTTCTATAACTAAAGCGAGCAATTCATTCATAACGTGCTATCATTATAATATTGTAAAAAAAATATTAAAAAGGGTGAACAATTCTGGAGAGAATATCAAACATTACTTGTAGCGTAGCAAAGAGCGACTCCAGCACTCAGACAGCACCCACCAACTCCAAACAATAACCTCCACTGTCCATCTCTTTTACTTAAAATACCAAGCGGCTTCCATGCTACAGCTCTCGTACTTGTTAATCGTAGCAATAATATAGCTTTTCTTTTTATTATAGAGCTGTTATTTACAAATATATGACGACCAAACCTGCAAAACGACAAAAACACGGCAGCCATTTTGAAATGGAAAACGAGTAGGACTGGGGAGAGTATGATAGGTCAGCGGTTTTCCATTCAAAAACAAAATGGCGTCCAAAGAATAAAGTCAAAACTTGTCAAAAAATCCTGTTGAATTTTTGGTCATTTATCGAAGAAATCCTGACTATTATCTAATATGCAAACTCAAGAAAAAMCTGGAGACCAAATTGGGTAAGTTTTAAGGTAGTGTTTTGAGTTTTTATCATAGATTATTTTAGAAAGGAACTCTCTTTTTCCATGTTTCACTTGTCAAAATTGCTTTGTCTTTCGACAGTCCTCGTGAACGTGTGGTTCTCTTTACTCTATTGAAGTTCACACTTGGGATGGTTCTAGTTCCAATAAGTGGGTTTTTCTTCTCAAAGACACTTATATTTGAAGGTAAGCTATAAATTGATAAAAATATATCAACCTTACCTGTAAACTTGATTTTCTCTAGTAAAAATTCTTATTTTAAGCCGGTCTCCAGATAAGAGTTCATCGTTACTGTAATTATTATATTTTATCTGGGGACCTTAAAATAAGAACTAGTATCAAGAGAATCAAGTTTAAGGGTTAAAATGTAAGCTTAAAAGCTTGTAAGTAGTTATAACATTAATTATTAATATGTTTTATCCCTGGTTAGATGAATCAGCAATATTCTTTTCTCCTTGTTGCAACAGACTGTTTYCTCAAGGTTGCATGTGCATCCAACTTGACGGGCCACAAAACTGAAAAATGCAAATTCAGGAAAATTGAAAAGCCAGGATTATATTTAAAAGAAGAATAATTGATTTGATAAATTCTTATTGAAAAATCTAATAGAAATGTATGGTAATTCTCATTATGAAGCTCCTGTTCTGGTATCGTGGCCCATCAAGTTCCTTAAATTTGGATGCGCATGCAACCTTGAGAAAATGGTCTACAACAAGTCATAAGCTTATTGCCTGGCCTCGTGGTTGTTTATTGATGAAGAGATTTAAGGCTAAATTGCAAGAATACTTGCAGTGCAACTTTTCTCTTCATCTCTGCATAGCTGGCATGTACCCTAATTGCAGGGGTCTTTTTCAGTCCTGCAAACTTAATATTTTTAATTGATGGCCTTGAAATTTGCTGCAAGCCCGTGTAGCTTGTAGCAACTGAATTGGCACAGTACTTATTGAAAGTACTATGATGTAGTGTTTTGAACCAAGAGTCATAAACTTATTTCTGGATTCCCCTGAAACTCCTAAGATGCACATAATGTTTTAAATCATTTAAAATAAATGTTTGTTTTGCCCTTGTACATGTATAGGTCTACTAGGATATGATAATGGTGCAATAGGAGCAGCGGTCATAACGGTCATTATCATACATGCTATCATCTTCATGTACGTCAGAGTAGCTATCACTGAAGATCAGCCAGTCAAGAAGAAAGATTGAAATGCCATACACTTTTATATAAAAATGAAAATAACAATATTTAGCTGCAAGAAATATCATTACCCAACCTTCTCGCATGGGTGAATTGGAAATGCCAGTACGCTACACCTAACAGGGGTTTCATTGATGTTTTGAAATGATCAAAGGAGGTCATTAACTAACCTGAGAGTCTATGTAAAAATTTTATAACTTACTAAGCTATCAATGTAGTTTAAGTTGGAGAATTTTGCACATTTAATGAAGCATTCTCAGATCTCCAACCCTTAATTAAACCCCTGTTCTAAGGTGATGCATTCTAGAGTTTTGTTTACTTGGAACTTCTTAGGGGGTTGGTTTTAGTCCCCTTTTTGTGTGTGGGGGGGGGGGGGAGGAGGGGGTAGATATTTTTTGGCACTGCGTAGAAAACAAGGGAGCAGTAGTGAAACTAATAGACTCGTAAAACATTCATTTCTACAAAGATGGTTTCGACCCAATTTATCATTTTAATATAGAAATAATTTTGAAATGACAATTCTCAAATATTTAATCAAAATTGTAGGTTTTCACTTATCACATTATTACGAGGAATATACATACAACGTTAAATCTATGACAATTTAAACAAGTCCTAAATTTAGTTTAAAGTTTTGGATTATTAAAAATTCACAATAGGATGACAGACATGGTAATAATGATTCAAAGATATTTCTCAGTAGGCTTGAACTTGGCAATAGTTAACTAGTAGTCAAATACTAGTGAACATTTTGTTTTGGTTAGTTAACTTTACTATGTACGTAATACATGGTACTCAAATTTTTCATAAAAACTTTTTCTGGCCAAATATACATTTTTCTTTTTCTTAATATTTTAGTTCATTCCTTAAAAGCATATGGCTAGCAAAACCTATCCACTAAAATTGGGCTGTATTTCTGGAAGTCTTTTTACCATCTAGTAAATAGAGGACGTGTTGCATTCTGGCAGTGACTAACGTCACTTGAAAACTAAGCTCTGTTAAAAGCTTTTTTTAAACATAGATAAACTAGTATCAGGAGCCTGTATATTGTCTGAAGACAAATTAATAAGCGGCAGCAGGGCTTGGCTTTCTGTTGTTTTATTCAATAAGGAACTCTTCATCACTTTCTTCTGGCATAGCTGCCAAGTTGTAAAAGGGTCTCTGTTGATTTAAAAAAACTCTCATCAATAAACATGTAGTGTAAAATAAAAATTCTCAAATTCTAACCACAAGTTCGTCATCTTTGATCATTGTAAGAAGTCACTTGTACCCACCTGATCTTTCTTGTCTTCTCTTTTTAGTTGTTTGAAATAGGAATAAACACAGAGAATACAATATATCTAAAGAAAAAAAAAAACAGTTATCAATAAGCATGTTTGCATAGCTTTCTCACAGAGATTAAAGGGTATTCCTTCATTCATCTTGTAATCTTATATACACCTAACTTTTAAGTACTATATGACTCTTAAGTTTTGGTGTAATGTTTTCCCATTTCAGTATTCATATTTATGTGTCTTCCCATTTGCAACCATGAAACAAAGAAATGATATTCTAGGGTATGACACAAGGTCTAAAACAAGAAAGCTTACATAAAGACTATCATATAAAAGATGTTTCAATTAGATTAATTCTTAGTGTGAATTTGTCAGCCAAGGAGGCACTTACATTAAGCAGCAGAAATAGGCTGTCCCCAATGTAAACTGAAGCAGTCATCTGTCGACAATGGAACAGAAGGTATTTATTAGTGTCACTTCGTAATGATCAATTTACAGGCTTTAAAAAATTTACCTTGACTTTCTTGGCAATATAAAAGATAACAGTACCAATGTCAAGAAGTTCCTCAGTCCATATCCCGGCAATCCATGGAATTAAAAGCCCTTTTTTGTGCTGTTATGAAGGAAAAGTAAGTTGTGAATAAATTATCACAAGCAACCAATCATGAGTCCCTCAAACTAGCATGGACTACATTGGTGTACAGATAATAATCCTTCTAGGGGTGGTTGAGAGGTTTGTCCAAACCCCCAAAATAAGAAATATGAACTCCCTTTCTATACCATCTTGATTGAAGCCCCTAAAAGACAATAACAAACACCAGAGATAGGATTATGTAGACCTATGTAGCATGTGTAGGGAAGCCAAGGGTAGCAATTTGATTTCTGAAACTCCTTAATCAAAATCCTTGATTTGCCCCTGCTTGATAAAAATGATACATGATGAATTCTATATAGTGGAAAAGATACCTGATTTTACTGATGTTCTGGACCTTGAGTTGTTCATCAGAGTAAATGGTTATGATTTTATGGGAACATTTCTTACCTTCCATATTCCGATCAGAAGTAAAAGAGCAACAATAAGGGTGAAAACTGTTATTGATATTTGTACTTTATGGATGACCGAAAGAGCTGTAAGAAAGAAACCAAAGCTTCAATTCAATTACTTTTCAAAAGACATTTCCTTCCACTGTACCATGAATTTAACACTAAGACCATGAAAAGGATATGGAAGGTTTTAAGTTTGGTCCCAAAAGATTGCCTTTTACCTTACCCAAACAGAATCCTAGTCAGTAAACTTTATGGATGCCCACACAAATTAACTCCCCCCCCCCCTCCCCCTTTCCCATTCTGTCAAATTATTCCAATTTCATTTTGATTCCAAAATTTGTGTACGATTAAACAGAATGAAATAAAAGTAATAACATAGAAATAACAACTATAGCACTCATGGATTCTTTCACATCTTACTTTCTATAGGAAGAGGCAAGTCTTTGATCTGTGTCTTGGTCAGACGATGTAGATATGCTACGTTGAACCAAAGAAAGTACAACCTCAGCACTCCAATCACCTATACTCAAAAATTCTGTTCAGTAAAATTTAAAAAAATCCAGGATATTTGTGAGAAAGATTATTTTGGCTTACCATAGTTCCAATACCACACACAATACTTCCTTCTCTGACATTAAGACAGCAAAGGAATCGTTTGATTTCCATTCTTTGTCTACTCCCCTTTTGAACCAGATTTTTTATAAAATTTTTACAATATTTGGTGTCAAAAAATGATGAATTTTAACTAATTTTTTTCTTAAGGGATTCTCTTGCAACATTCACGAAGAAGATCGAAATTCGGATATTTGTCAACGTTTTACGTTTTAGTTTCGATACGTGTTTTTTTTATAGTCAAACTGATCATTTTCTTTTCGCTTCCGGTTCCGGTCGAAACATTCAACCGGAAGTATTAACGGAGGAATTCGTTACCAGTACTTTTTAAGAACTCACTTCCAGAATCAAAATGGCGGGGCTTTGCAAAGCTTTTCGCTCTTCAAAGCTTTGTTTCCAGACTCGAATCAATAGTTTGGTTAATCAGAAATATTGTAGTAATATCAAGACTCGTTTATTAAGGACAAGGTAGGTTTAAAACTTTGAAATATTTCAGCAAACAATATTTTTGATGTTATTTGTAGAAGTTGCTCAATGTACATGTGTGCGCACATGAGGCCCCTGCAAGCCTGGGTTAAGGGTTAAGGATAATGAATTATTATGACTTTTTAGATGGGATGCGGATCATTGGTGACTAAATTTAAAGATTATGGATTATTTATCATTATTATCGTTTATTTATGTAGGGGTATATTTGTTTACAAAATTGGGATTTTTTAATTCAGACCCCCCTACGGTGTATAATATAACAGGGCCTCATAGATGGTTCCCCTTGGGATTCATTAACTATGCATTAAAAAAATCTCAAAATGTTCCTACATTTTAATATGGCTGTAAACCCTTTGATATCCTCAATTATGTTGATCTTGGTCTACAACGGATCTATGGGCTTCCCCCTCATGGAGGAATTTTTCTAAGACACCCCCTTACCCCTGAGAAATTCCAATTTTCTTCCATACAAACTCTGTAATTTTTGTTTTTTCTCTGAGCCCCCCACTCTTCGGAAATTCCAAATCCCTCTGTGGGGTGGGTATGGATGATTTCTGGAACTACACATTCAAGCTCCTATTCTTCAGCTACCCATGTAAAAGCTGCAAGTGTTGCTAAATAGGGGTTGATCACTTAATGGAAGTATAAGTGAGTGTGACAACCCTAACTTTGTCAACTGACTGCTAAGTAGACACCTTGCATGTGACGTCAAAGCACCTCAATATGGAGGGCAAAACATGAGAATGTATGAAAGTTGATTTTGCCACAAAACAGTCACTTGATTTGGTCCTTGATTCACGTTTATTCTCTTACAAATTCACTTAAACTTCCTCTTACATAATCACATTCACTCGCTAAAACGACTCTCTCTAGCCCCTTGAACTCCCTGCCCCACACCCCCTATCACATTACACACGGAGTCACTTCCACTCAAAATAATTACAAAAATCGCTTCCGGTCAAGGATTCAATCTCATGAGAATATTGGAAACCTATTGGTACATGCTCCAAATTGAGCTCCATTTTGACTTGCTGCAAGGGGTCTATTAGGAGTTGACTTTTTGATAGATGGCTATCAAAGGAATTGAGTAGTGCACTTGCCTCACATCTCTGCCAGTCAGGGGTTTGATTACCAGACTTGGAATCACATCTGAATAGAGTTAATYYATAAATCTACCTTTATTCGAGGGTTTTTTCTGGTTTTCTTCATTGATGTGTGAGTTAGCCATGACTTTGATYAGCCCAGAGATTGTTTCAGGGTTTGATCTATGAGTTAGCTGTGCCCTGATTTTGATCAGCCCAGAGGCTGTTTTATGGTTTGATCTGTGAGTTAGCCATGCTCTGACTTTGATCAGCCCAGAGGTTGTTTTATGGTTTGATCTGTGAGTTAGCTGTGCCTTGACTTTAATCAGCCCAGAGGTTGTTTTATGGTTTGATCTGTGAGTTAGCCATGCCCTGACTTTGAACGGTCCAGGGGTTGATTCAGGCTAGGGTAAAGATAAAAATTTGAATTTGCAATTTGGCCACTTAATAGAGTGTCTATGGACAGTAATATTTTAGCTCTTAAAACATAATTGTTTGTATATTATTGTATGTTTTTAGTGCCATACTTAATGAGAAGTTAACCCAGAGTTATACTCATGGAATTACCAACAAACCACTGATAGGAGACACTATAGGCCAAAGGATTGACAAGGTAGCAGAAAAGTTCCCAGACCGAGAAGCTTATGTCTTTTGTGAGGATGGAGATAGAGCAACTTTTGCAGAATTCAAAGAAGAGGTAAATTTCGAAGGGGGGAGTGGACAAAAGCATATCATCAAGTCATTTGAGACACCTGGTAACTCCCCTAACCCCATCACCTCCTTAGGCGTGTGCAATCAACTCCAGTGAAAGCTAATAAGGCGAAGTTGTGCGTACCAAAGAAATAAATATTCTCAACTCATTCCCTAGCAGTGAAAACCAAGAAATAAAGAGAAGTGCATACCCCACTTACCAAGGCAAAGTC